CTGCTCCTAGACTTGTGTCCCCAACAGGCCTAATAACTTCAAATCAGTTTATTATATAACGCCCATTCACAACATTTCGTCTCAAGGCGATTTACAGAGACAGCTCAATGAGATCATACAGTGATATTTGTTCAAAGTGTTCTAAAGACCACCCACGGATTGCATCGACTTATAGACTTGAAAGCAATACCTCACACCAAGCATGCTTGTAGCAACAGTGGAGAGGAAAAGCTCCCTTTAAACAGGAAGAAACCTCCAAGGTTCAGTGTGAGCGGCCATCTGCTGAGGCCGCCTGAGGTTCCTCAGGAGACAGAAGCAGATACAGAAAGAAGCAAACTGACAGTTTTTTTTTTACTTTGCCAGAAAATAAAACGTTATTATTAGCTAGTTTTTAAAGTATTTTTATGTCTTGTTTACATATAAGCTTTCTTTACTTTACTGTAGCACTGAATTTAACATCCCACATAATATCCAAAGTTGCCTAGTTACCTTGAATATTTAATCGAAGATGACCAATAAAAAAACAAAAATATATGAATATCAGAAGGTTTATTTACATCTGATGGCTTAAAATCACATTTTGTAGTTTAATTAGTGGTGCAGAATGTCAAGTAGAATGTGATAACTTGTTATACTAACTAAAAGTAGACTTTAAGAAAACCACTAGATAATGGTTTAATGTTCTCTACTTGTTCTCAACAAACATTGGTCTATGTGTTATTTTAAACAAAAAGCAAAACGGTGTAGGAAGTAAAAAGGTTCACTGTTACAGGTTTGGATTAATGATAATAGTTAATAAAGTTAAAATTGACTAATTCTTAAAGAAGCAAGAGGGAGGGAAACAAAACACTAAATATGTAATATTTTAGAATTGGGTTGAAATAATATCACAGATTAAATAGATCTGTTTGATGAATTTAAAGTTCCTGGGATTGAATCAGGGCTGGACTGGAAACAATTTTTTGGCCTTTTTGAGCAGAGACAGGTTTATCTGGTATTGATGAAAGGACAGTAAAACCCACCAATGGAAACAACACTTTCTTGTGACAGTGTGTTCACATGTAAGTCAGATGCATTATTTCCTCTTACATGAGATCCCCTTTTCTTTACTTTTGCATTGCGTTACTCTCCGTCTCTAGATTCAACACCAACCCCCTGTAACAACATTAGCACCTACTGTTACCACAAACCAGCCCAGCATCACTACAACATCTGCTATTGTCAGGCTGGAAACCTTGGACCCAATATTCAAACAGACAGATCAGAATGAGTTCAGTCTTTATTTATTAACTGCATGCGGCTGCTCCTCAGCTGGAGCGGATAAACAGGATCTTCCGTAGAAACTCAGATCAGTGACTAAGAATAAATGGCCGGTAAACAACTAAAAGCAGGAGTCATTGACCTGGTTCAGAGTTTAGTCTGATCCCAGAGGGATGTGAGGAATCCAAGAACGAGATTGTCCTTTGCTTGTGATGGGTGCCGCCCCCAGAGCTCTGGATGATGAGCAGAGCTGATGCCAAGTGACGCCGAGGAGCAGCTGAGTCCAGAAGAGAGTATCCAAGCCGAAGTTGTAATAGAACCAAATTCATAAGCGAGACGACGTTTTGTCCTATCGCACAGTTTAAGACAATTAAAACATTATTATATGTATTTGAATATCTTGCATAAAAATATGTTTTATAATAATATTTGTGAAAATATTTGGAAGCCATTTAGTGATGTCATCATTACTTATGATTATAAAGGTTAATTTGTAGAGAACATGTGAAAAGGGATTATTTGTATTTGTTTGGAACTGGTATGATTTAGAATGAGGTAACTTATAATACTCAATCATTGTAACAAATTTACTTTGTTTTTGATGCATCTTACATTGTATGTATTCAGTTTTTTTTTTAAATCTCAGATCAGCAAAATGATGTTATGTTTTTGCTGCACGGTTGGGTCATATTTACCTTCATATTGGGTGATATTCTGGGTTTACATTTTGGAAGGCAGGGGACATTAGTAAATCTTCATCCATTTGTTTACCAAAGCCAAAGCTCAGGAAGGGCTCATTTTTGTGGAGGACAGGTCACTTTTTTATCAGGCTAAACACACAGTTCAATATTAGTTTTGAGCAATAATGTGTGGGTTTTACCACCCACTGAAAACAGCTGGGAAGATAACTTTAAAGCATGTGTCATTTCCAAAATTATATTCTGATTTTGCTGTATTTATGTTACATATAGTCTCAATTTTGGGGTCATGGACTGAATTTCTTCCGGATAAAGCGGGAAAAAATGGAGGGAATGATGGACAGTCTCAATTTAACAATATTTAATGTAGGTTTTTTTTTTTTTTTTATAAATATCTTACTTAACAGAAGGAAACATGAACATAATTAACCAATTTTGTAAACATTTTGTAACATTAAAAGTAAATGCAAGATTCTGTTTATGGTGTCTTTTTTTTGTTCATTTACAATTCATATCGTTAACAGTAGCAGATCCCAATCATATTTACTACTTATTAAACTCATGTGATGGAATAATGTTACTGCCATGACCCCAAACCGTGATATTAATGTTACTGCTGCTGCTCTGTTCCACGCTACCTCAATAAGATTCTTCCATTACATGCAATAAATCATCTGTGAATGTGTGAATTTACAGAGTATCTTGTGCTAAGCTTTTTAATCTCTTATTTATTATTTTATATGTTTATCTTTGTTCTATCCATGTTATTACTGAAAAGAATATGCACTTTATTTTTTATATTAGTGTTTTTTTTATGAGAATCTTTGATGACAAAAGTTACTCATTGCTCACACTAAAATGTTTTAGATTATAAGAAAGATAACCTGTCCCTCACAGACTTTTGAGAAAACATTCTTTGCATCAACAATCCACAAGTTTTGGCTGTTTTGCATCATATTAGATCTGGTGTAAAAATAAAACTGCAGCCGTTTAGTATGTTTGCGGTTTGTTCTTCATATGGGATGGGTATGTTTAGGTAGCCCATTAGAGCTTTTTAGATGGCTTCAGCTACTTAAAAAATAGTGTAAGCCATCACAGCTTCCCCTGGTTTATAGATTGGAGTGCAGGTTAACTTTAGCTGGAGTGAAATAAATGACAGAGACAGCCCAGCTTCTGTTCAGCTTTGCAAAGGGAGAGGAATTCCAGCCAGTATCTGCAAGCAATACTCTGTCCCTCTCCCTGCACAGGCTTGTTTTATTTATCTTTTTCAGGGAATATCTTACAAAACTACACAAACAGTCCCACAAGTAGATACACAGTGTTCATACGACCTACAGTTTCCGTCTCCATATATGGAGTTGTTTTCCTGTTTTTCTGCCTCTACAGAATCAGCTCTTTCTGTGTGTGGGTGCGAGCAAGGTCCCTCAACCTTCCTATCTACACATTCCATCCTCCCCTCTTTAAGCTTGGCCTTACACCTAGGAACAGTAGATTTGCTGCCCATCTTTAAATTATACATAGCATATGCTCCTCACTAGTACTCACAAATGATTCATACATTTACATAGCCCTTTAGGTTAAGTCAAACTATATTAAATCTAAGTGTATGAGACACATTTTATTTGTAGCTGTTTAATAAAACA